GGAGAGGAGAAGTTGCATATCAACTACAACTACCAGAACATATCGCCGATGTGCACCCGGTCTTCCATGTGTCCCAATTAAAGAAATGCTTACGAGTGCCGGAGGAGCAAGCTCCACTGGAGGAGATTCACCTTAGCAACGATCTCACGTATCCAGAACACCCGGTCAGGATATTGGATGAAGCCGAAAAGAGAACTAGGAGCAAAGTGTGGCGTATGTACAAAGTACAATGGAGTAATCACACCAAGGATGAAGCCACTTGGGAGAGCGAAGAATTCTTGAGGATGGAATACCCGCATCTATTCGAAAACAGGTAAGAAAATCTCGGGACGAGATTTATTTAAGGGGGGTAGGTTTGTAACACCCTGAAAATTCGACCAATAAAAAAAATCCAAGCGCCAAAAATATGGACCCTCAAAAACTTTTTAAATAAATTGCATCATGCCGATTTTGCTCGCTGATTTTATTTGATTTTGATCTCAGAGTTCATAAATCACGAGTAATGAATAATTAATTAGGAATAAACCCTAAAAGTAAATAGTCAAGTAAATAATTAAAGGATAAACTAAAATAAAGTTCTGGTGAGGATGCGAATAAATAAAGCATTATTGCAACTATATTTATATCAATTAAATACTAAAAGCGATGGAATAAGAATTAACCCCAATTAAAATTCGAATAAATCAAAAATAAATAAAATCAATAAAAAAAATATGAGTAATGATAAGCTAGGTTAGAGCAACGCAAATATGGTGTAATCTCAAATTGTGCAAAAATTAGGAATATTTGGGCAAGATTTAAAATAGGAAAAACAACCAAATTGGAAAAATAGGAAAAAGTCACTGTTCATTGCACTCTAGGTGCTCGACATGGTCCCTAGTTTTTTTTCCCCTCCTCCGCCTGCCGTGCCGCGCGCCGCGCGCTGTCGCATCGCCGTCGCCGTCGCCTTGCGCCCCGTGCTGCCGCTGCCGCGCCGTCGCCGTCGCTGTCGCGTCGCCGTCGCCGTCGCCGTCGCCGTGCGCCCCACACTGCGCCGCGCGCCGTCACCGTCGCTCCGAGCCGCGCGCCGCCGCTGCCGCGCCGCACGTGCCGCCGCCGCCTCGAGCCCCGTCCCGTCGCGTTGCCCGTCCCGTCGCCGCGCCGCGCGCCCGTCGCGTCGCCGCTGCCGCACCCGTCGCATCGCCGCTGCCGCGCCGTCCCGTCGCCTCGCGCCGCGCGCTCGCCGCCTCGCGTCCCGCGCCCCGCGCGCCGCTTGCCCGTCACGTCGCCGCCTCGCGCCCCGCACCGCTGCCGCGCCGTGTCGTCGTCGCGTCGCCGTCGCCGTCACACCGAGCCGCGCTGAGCCCCGCGCCGCGCCGCCCCTCGCCCGCCCCTCGCCCGCGCCCTATAAAAACCCCGGCCCCCTCCTCTTCTCCACCCCACACCCATCCCCTCCATTCTCACCTCCTCTCCTCTACTCACTCCACCTCGCCGCCGCCTTCACGCCGCCGCATTGAGCCACCGCGCCGCCGCCCTCGGTGACGCCGCACCACGCCTGGTGCCGCGCCGCCTGCATCGCCGTCGTCTGCGTCGCCGCCGCCGTCGTCGTCATCGCCGCCGCTGTCGGTAGGCCGCCCCCCCTTTTTCGTTTCGCCGCCGTGCCACCGGGGAGCGCAGCCGAGAGAGAGAGGAAGAAAGAGAGGAGCCGGGAGGGAGAGAAGAGAAGAGAGAGAGAAAAAGAAAAGAAAAGAAAAAAAGGGAAGGGAGGAAAAAGAAAAAGAAAAGGGGAAAAAGAAAAGGAAAATAAATAGGAAAATTAGGGAGATTAAGAAGTTAGAAAATTTAGAGTAATTAGAATTTAATTATAGGTTAATTAAATTCTAATTTAATTAGGTCGATATGATTAAAGATTATTTCCGGTAATCTCATTAAGAGGTCAATTCGCGGTAGGAATTTTGATTTGATTAGAAAATAAATAATTGTGTTGAGACCCTAGGGAATAATTAATTTAGGATAAATGACCCAACCATTCGAATAAAAATGGTTCCACAAATCTTGTTGTTAATTTAGAAAAAATGATCTGCGTTCGACTTTTGTGTGAATTATTTGGATTTTGTTTGAATTCTAATTGAATTCAAATTGTTCTTTCGCACGTAATTACAGAGACCGAGGGAGCCGCGGATCCGGGTGAAGGCCAAGACCCGCAAGACTTTGAGCAAGGCAAGTCATCACTATTCTTTGATCACGTTGATCCCAATTGCGAAATTAATTTTTGTTTACAAATAAGATTGCATGCAATGATGAACATCCTATTTGTGATTATGCCATGCCTTGATTATTGTTCACCTTTAACTCCTTGTAAGCATGATTACGTATGAGTCCCTAGTCGATTATGACACCTGCTTAGAAATGCTACACTAGAATCTTTCATACTCATATTTATCAAATATTATATGCTTGGGCAATTACCTTTGGGAAGGTAATTGAGATGCGGCATGTGGAGACATGAGCGCCACATTGCCATGATAATGATGGCATGATTTGTGAAAATTAGGAAAGAAATTAAAAATTTGTTTTAGACCAGGGCGGACGGTGGATTTGGGTGGTATCTGGGAAAGGCTAGTACCGTCCCCGGTCAATTAAGGACCGAGCCATAAAGTTAAGCATGAAACGACTCCGTACAACCACACTTCTCGTATGAGGATAGACCTAGCGGAGTAAATAGCCGAGCGGAGGCAGTATCCATGCATAGTGGTTTCTCGAGGTGTAAGGCAGGGGCTCTACAATGGTGTCGCCATTGTTAGGACTGCCATGTGATGAGTTGAACATAATTATAACTTAATACATGGGTGTGAATTTTTCCTTCCCGGGTGCGCCAGAACTCCTCTCACTGCTAGAAACTGTGTACGCCTAGAGTGCCTGAGGATGAACAGTTCATGGAGCGGGTACTGCCAATGCGTGGTTATCGAAAAGCTTTGCCGTGACGCGTCTCATGTGTTGAGACAAGGCTCATGTGTTGGGCAGTCGCGGAGTGTGGGTAAAGTGTACATCCACTGCAGTGTGAGTAATTCAAATCTATTCGAATAGCTGTGCTCGCGGTTATTGAGCACCGGGACATGTATTACACTTGGCTAGACTCTAAATTCTTAACTTGAGTGGGATGGGTTATTGCATGATGAATTTTTATGCTGTTGGAGCCACTTCCTGAGAAGGGGGAGAGTGGATGTCCTCAGAAAACCATGACGACTCAATGACGGGAAGCTATCCTTGGGATCACAATGGATGGTGGACAGAACCGTCGTTGTTTAAATACAAACACTGGTACTAAAATTTGATCAGTCAATGCTAGGTCTTAGGCTTGTGAAAAGAGTTACAAAACTTGCTTTGCGCAAAAGAACCATAGCCATCCTTTGAAATACCCCTATTATGTGCATTATTGATGTGGTGGCTTGCTGAGTACGGTTGGTACTCACCCTTGCAAATATAAACCTAATCAGAGGCGGGAGATGAAGCTTCGGAGGATCCCTATGCCTATTACTAGGAGGGTGATGAAGACGATGGCGCTCAGTAGGTCTTAGTACGGTCGTTGCCTATGGCAATGGCGTGCCGCTGCCTTGATTCCGCTGCCTTATCTATTTCTGCTTTTGGGATGTATTCCGGACCGCCCGGTCCGATGACTTAAGACAATGCCTGCGGGCTTATGTTGTAATAATTCGCACTAGACTCTCGTGTATGCGCATTTGGTATTTCAGCTATGAACTCGTGTGTACCAGACTACTTGATCCAGGGAAATGGTACTGTTTACACGATTGATTCCAGTTATGAAAACGAGGGTCCACAAACCGGGACTAAAGATGATCTTTAGTCCCAATATGCCCGTTACCCTTTTTAACCAACACTAAAGATCATCTTTAGTCCTGGTTTTTATTGTAACCGGGACTATTGTGGAATTCGGCCGACCGACGAAAGATGGTTTCTCCACTAGTGTATGCGTGCCAAGTTGGCAATTGGATCCTAGTAGCTGCAAATTTTGAAACACAACCCAACCCAATCCTTCTTCTCTTAATCTTCTCTTCCTACTCTTGTGTTTGTGTGTGTGTGTAAGAGGCTAGTAGAGTTAGCTAGCATAAATTTTTTTGCACGTTGCAGCTAGTAGCTGTGCTGCTGGCTTGTCGTCCTCTGCTTCAACTTTAAAGAGAGAGCTAATAGATCGGTGATTCGCTTGGGTTTCTGGTTCATATGCAACATGGACTAGCTAATTGGATTTGTTCAAAGGATCTGCTTCTTGGATGCTGTCCGGCCACGTCGCCATGCATGCGAATTTTGTGGATGGAGCCAAAAGCTGCATGCACGGAGCTGATTTAATTAAGGGCATGCTCAGATTGTTGTCAAAGTAAACCTTATCAAGTTTTTGGCAATGCCAAAATTTTGGCAAGATGATAACATTGCCAAATTTTGGCAGGATTTCTTATATATTAACCAAATTTGGTAACAACTAAACGTAGATATTTTTTTTGATAACTTTAGCAAAAAAAAATGATATGGTTGAAAATGCATCAAAGTGAACAGGCCCTAATTGACTTGTTGACAGCTACTCCCTCCATTCTAAAATATAAGGCATAACCACCCTTAACTCAAAGACTAAAAAATAATTATTATCATCTTGTAGTTTGAATCATCCTAATAAACATAATGCATGCATCCAATAGGATTAGATAATATGAGAGTAAAGGATTTAAAAAAGTAATAATTTAATGGAGAATATGTCATAGTTAATTGCATGCTTGCATGCATGCCTTATATTATGGAACATCTAAGAAAAGTGGTTGTGCCTTATATTATGGAATAGGGAGTAGTACCTAATTAAGCATGTGTGTTAATCTATTCTACCCTATAATTCACCAACTAGGTATTACATCCTTCATACTTCATTCATCAAATCGGACGATCCAGAATCATCTAAACTCAATCGAACGATCCTGATGGACTCCACGCAGTACTCCATCCTCGCGATCTCCTAATCGCCGCACGCGCTCTGGTCTCGAAAGAAAAAAAGGAAAAACAATCTACCCTAATCGCGCCCCGCCGCCCGCTCCCAACCCTTAACCCTAATCGCCGCCCGCCGCCGCCGGGACAGCGACGCCCGCAGCCCTCCCTCACTCTCGTCCGCACCGCCGCCCGCGCTGATCTCCTCCGTGCCACTGCCGGAACACCCACGCCCACACCACGGCACCACCAATCGATTCCCCGCCGCGGCCGTTCTCTTCCGCCCGCCTGGCCGGTCTCCTTCGTGCCACCACCGATCTCCGCCGACACGCTGCTGTCCCCTCCTCCGGAAGCTCCACCGCTGCCCCACGCGGATCAACAGGCTGTTGTCCCTGGCGCCGGAAGCTCCACCACTGCTGCCCCTCTGTGTCGCACTCAAACTGTTCCTTCGCCACCAAAAGGTACTGAAAGCTGTGATTGAGGCATTCTACTTATTCCTATTTCCAAAACTTAGGTTCGGTTGTAAATACTGAATAACCGATGCAATTTTCGATTGGATGAAACTGAATGTTCCATGCACTCCTGCAGTCCTGCTCACTATCGCGACTGAGTATTTCTTTGTAGTTATAATGACATTGCAATCAAGTAGAAATATCCATTAGCTAAATCTTGACTTAGCTGCCTACCTAATTTGTTTGCAACATGCATCATCCACCAAATTTAAATAGCAAATCTGACTAGGTAGATTACAAGTTTTTGTGCTTTCTAGATTTACACTCCCGAAGGAAAATCTCCGATTGGCTATCAAGGACCCATGTTAGTATGCAAATGTAAAACTGCAACCTATTTCCGATTAAATCCAATGATTTTCTACTATGCCATCTAATAATTTCTCAATTCAATTTTAAGTTCCTTTCTACAACATTTTGCATCTTATGGTAGGGTTAGATTTTATACCAAGGTGTGGCCTTTTCTGCCCAGGTGAGTATTTCTGCATCTATCTTGCTCCTCCGGAGCAGATAAACACTTTATTCCTTCACTTTCATTACTCTCTCTTTCAAATCCAGCTTATTAGAGTCCTTTTCATTCAACAGGGTCATGCATGGTGGATGTATGTATGGTTTCAGTTCATGATTTTGGATGAATAAATTAAGTTTAGGTTCTTTATTGTAGCCTTGTCTCATGCATGAGTGGGGATCATGGGGTCTCGCTCCAATGGTGCTTCAAACAGCATATGTAGGGGGTTATTTTTGCCCTTATTTTTTTTAATCTTCCTTCCTCTTTGTGTAAAAATGTAAGATACGTCTCAAAATATATTGTTTCTATTTGGTCATCAGCCTTTCCCTTGTTTGCTAAACGAATAGTATGTCATCAGCCTCGCCGTGTCATCTCGATGGCTTGCATATATACGAGGATGCGGGAAGGGCCTGTTACTGTAGGGGTGCCATAATTGGATTGGATTTCTTTTACCTTTACAGAACAATATTTTTGAACAAAAGGAATATTACTTTATTTTGATATCATCTTTTCTTGTATTGTAGGTTTTGGATTCTCAAACTCGTAGCGTTTGTTGTCTACGTTTGGACGAAGCGTCGCTCATCTTTTCATTTTATTCTTGCCTCTGAAGATAGGTACTGTGCCAATGAAGATACATGTTTGTGTGCTAGCTAAATCACGCTTATGCATTTATGCATGGTTAATTACATTGTTTGCTCTGTTAATCTACACAACCTGATGGCATTCTCTGCAATCTTAAGGGATTTATAGTTTTATGCATGATTATGCTTTTCAGATCTTTAGTAAAAAATGCTCGCCAGGGATTTAATAAGAAATGCTGGAGCACTAATTGATCCTCTGCTCCATTTGATCAAATAGTACTGTCCATTTATGCCTACACTTTTCTGATCTCATAGTATTGTGTCAAATAAATTTGATATGTAGCTTTGGTGTCCTTAAATGGCATGGTTGTTTTATACGTCCCTGTGATTTTCCATGTCATGATTTGTTGTTACCATTTCATTGAATGCTTTGCTGTTAATGATCGCTTAACAATCAGTAGGCTCCGTTGGATTTGTGCGGACTCATAAAGAAGAGGTGCTTGTGTTTGCTGGTTCATCAAACAGCTCCATCAAAGCGGTAGGGCGTGGGATAAGCCAAAGGTTTGGCTGTGCTGCTACTACTACTAACATCCATTGACATTCACTATTTTGAAGATCAATAGTACTATTTTTATTTTCGGATCAGCGGTAGGGTTCTGGACTTAAATTGCCGATCAAATGATTTGCGGATGCAAATAATGAATTTCCATATGTAGACCTGTAGTGGGCCGTATGATAATAATATATTTGGTATATTGCAGAAATGGCTTTGTAGTAAAAATTGCTCATATAATTAAGTTGTCAAATTATGTGCACCGACAATACACCTGATTTATCTACAATAACAGGTAATGCCTGATTTGTCTACAATAACAGGTAATGATGTGCCGAATTGCTCTTCAGATTCTTCATCCGATGTTATCATGTTTTTGTCAAGTGAATAAACTAAAACTGTATGACAACAGTTACGTGTTGAATCAACTAAATTTCTGACAGTAGATGTTCTTAAGTGCACAACCTAAAATTTCTTTAATTCATAAGAACATGTAACCACATTAGGTATAAAGTTTGCAAGATATCAATCTTGATGGCCTGTTGCTGCTAGGTGTATGCATTAATTCTGGTGCGCTGGATGTAGTTTGCTTGCCTCTAGGATTATATGATAAGTTAGATGTATTTTGTTGGCCTGCTGGATGTATGCATTCAGCTCCTGACTTATTCTTGATTTATTTGTGCATGCCGGATCCATGGAAGTATCAACCCACTAAAGTCTGAACTCTGAAATAAGGCTTTTGGTATACTGTGGCCTATATATTCTGCACGTCATAGAGCTTTCATGTCACAATATATGTGCAGGTTAGCACTGGATGGAAATTAATACCTCATTTGTTTTCTATCTTTTCAACAACTTTGCTCAGGGTTGGTATAAATCACCACTTAAGCAACTTTGTGATGGCATCCATCTAGCCCTATGGCAGTTACATAGAGGAATAACGATGCATTTATCTGCTTATCTTATGTAAGTGAAACGATCTGGTGGGTACAAATGATTATATGATTATGTTATTCTCCAAGTCAATATCTTGGATGATCTTATGCTGCTTTTAGTCTGCAGGCTTCGGGGAAGGTTGAGTATTCAAGCCGTGGTCAAGAGATTTTTTTTTTTTTGTGCTTATATTGTTTGACAAAATAGATATTTGGTTGTAGTGCTGACAAAAATGTTTGATATAGCATTTTCTTGATTCATGTAGATTGACAATTGATTTCACAAGTAAATGAAATAGTATATGTTTTAGACATTTAGTACACACGCTATTATCTACTGAGGAGGTGTTTTCACAGCTTATCTACAATGACTCCAATTTTAAATTCAACATTATAGCTACTATGCTAGATTAAAGAGGGTAGTGAATATCTGCTCAGAAATATTTTTGTATACTCGTTTTTATTTTATGCCGAAATTTTTGTATTGATGTCTCACTGAAATTGTTTATATATAGGAATCATATATTTATTTTCACTATGAATTCCTTGATTTATCCTGCACTTTCTTCAGAAATTTGGGTCTAATACTCTAATTTCTTTTGAATCCTACTGTTACTTGGGCACTGTTGAGAAGGGAGGGTGTTGGAACTGCCATGGAGGCCGAGCTCCAAGCGGTCTACGCGTATTCATTGCCAAGATCGGTCTCAAGCTGCAATTGTGGAGGTTTACATATTAACTACCATCCTACGGGCCTGTTAGGTGTTGTATCAATAGTTTTTTTAGTTAACCCAAATGTCAGGACTGATTGATTATGTAAAACTAAATTATTTTTAGCTTTGTTTTGTCAGTGCTAAATATGGTGATTGATGCGATCCGTAACTTTGGTTATTGCAATGTAAGATAGCAATTGATATATGGAGACAATATATAATGCATATACAAAATTAGATTTTTGCGTTTGTATTGGATCATAAGTTAGCTTCTATATATTTCAGCTATTTGGTCCTTTGAGGCTGATGCTTTCGTTTGAAAAAAAAAAAGAAAGATTAACTATAACTGCCAACTAATAAATATGGCATTCTTGCTTAAAAAAACACAAAAGCAAACCTGAATTAAATAAACTGAATATGTTTTAAACCTGAACATGGGTTCTATTACATATCGCCGTAGCGTTAGCACGGGCAAATTACTAGTTAGGTATAATTACACACACAGGGTCCATCGACTCATGAGCCACAGACTGATGGGTCGTCCCAACCGGTCCTCACTTCCAGCCCATCTCCTTGTGCCAAGCCCACCTAGTTTATTATTAACTAGTAATTTGCCCACGCTAACGCTACGGCGATATTCAGAAATACAAATTAAGATCGATGGATATGGTTATTATGTTGTTAATTAAATTGCCACATGCATAAAATAACATAGTTATTATCATGGTTCAAATGGAGTCATTAGTGACAACATAGCAAACATTCTCTATGGAAGGATCCGAAATGATCAAACTTAATATTCGACGTGCATGATGAGCATATTGGAAAAGAAAACAATTTGCGCACCATATTCTATTGGTGGATAGTGTTTTAACTATGCTGTACAAATTGTTTTCTAGAGTTAGCTTCATACATTAGGGTGGATTATAATTCAGTAATCTTCAGGAGGCAGCTAGCTAGCTTCACACATTAGGGTGGATTGTGTTTCAGTAACCTTGAGCATTTTTCCATGAAAATCAGATATAAACGTGGCTCAGATCATAAAAGAAGTGAATATTTTACATTGCAAGGGAATATTACACCTTACTCTGTTCATGCAAACAAAAATTGACATACCCACTTAACTAAAATCCAGGTAGCGTTTAACTATATGTGCTACACAAATTAAAACGTGGTGATAAACTGGAAAATTATTAATATCTAAAAACGCTATAATAACTGAAAAATACAGGAGCTAGCTTATAATACACAAAAAGGTGAAATATTCATATACTGAAAATTCGTTGATATGCGAAAGGACAAAATAACTGAAATAATAGGAGCTAGCTTTTTAGCCGAAACAAAAGCAGAGATCTAATTTTATATATGTATTATGTATTGATCATACGTCATCTTACATTGCAATGTGACCAAAGTAACGAATCACATTAATCTATCACCATATATAGCACTGACGAAAGAGTGCTAATAATGATTCAGTTTTACAAAATCAATCGGTTGTCTTTTGGGCTAAATAATGAAAAACTATCGCCAACAGAATGTGATACAACGCCAAGTCAACCGGCCCATAGGATGGTAGTTAATTAACATGTCAAACTTCCCCAGTCGCAGGTTGAGGCTGATCTCGCCAATGAAGGAGCGGTAGACCAATTGGAGCTCCGCCTTCTTGGCTAAAGCAAGATTAAGAATTAAACATGTGTAATAGAAGTATCAGGAATTCAGAATGGTAGTTGGCGCATATGGAATGGATTTGATGGCCGAAAATTGTGTACCCTGTGAAGAATTAATTACTGGTTTTAAGTTTTAACTGCATACTGTTATCATTTCAGGGAAAGGTGATCTTCAGAAGAGCTGAGTAAGGTACAGCTTAAAACCATTATTTATTCTATAGTGATCTTCAGCACACTGCCACTGCACTTTCTTGCTAGATTAATAACTCTGAATATCTGATATTTTCCTCCTATGGTCTGAATGTTGGGTTAGTTCCAACTGATTATTCACTTAACTCTGGCAGCATTTCAATTCCAGAATCAATTTGATTACAGTCTTTTCTTCTCTGTGCTAAATTCTGGAAGTTGCTAGCTTCTATTCATCAAGTTATACATACAAGTTTGTAGTCTGAAATTCATTCAGAACACCAGGTTTAGTCAATTATTTCTTTTTCCATATATGTATGCATAAAGATCAAATTCTCTCTAGGTGGAGTGAGCAGCTCTTTGAATCTTTCAGTGCTTCATTTTACTTCAATTGTAAAAGGAGATGTGCCTATAAGTATGTCCTTTGCTTCAGAGGTCATTAGCATTAACTGATATGCTTACATGTTTGCCACTGAAATGTGTTATGTAGGCTGCAGCAGAAGGTTCATTTTCCCTTTTGTGAGGTGCCATAACTTTCTGGTGTCTGTTGAAGGACAAAGATTATAAATGACATATATTGCAGGAAAATGACATATTTTGAGTGTTTTTATATGTTGGGAACGTGCATTGCACGTGCACGATTACTAGTGAAACAAAATTGGCCAGTAGCTTAGGTTACATCAAACTGCCATGCACGCGAACCCAAGCGCGAGGCTGCCGGCCAGGGGATCCATTGCGTGGTCGTGGGCAAGGCTGCAAGAACCGAAGCTCGAGGCAAGAGCGTCCGCGAGAGAGTACTGAGCGGCGGCAGCGACTGATCTGACTCCTCCATTTCGCTTTCCACCATGTCGTCCGCGTCCATGGCAGGCGCCTGCTCCTTCCTGGTGGCAGCAGCGGGGAAGCCGCCGCGCCGGAGCTCCCTCCAGCGGTGCTTCATGACGCGCGAGGTCCGGCCGTAGACGGCGCGGCCGATCTCCTTCCAGCGGTCGCCGAGGCGGTAGTGGAGGCGTAGGAGCTCATCGTCTTCGCGGGCGGTGAAGGGGCGGTGGTAGACGTCGCGGGCGAGGTGGTGGCGCCACCTGTCGCGGCACGACCTGGCTCCTAGCGACCCGGCTCCAGCGGCGGAAGCCGTTCTCCTTGGCGAGGCGCTGCAGCCGCGCGTCCTCCTCCGGCGTCCACGCCGGCAGCAGCTTGAGGCGGACGACGCACCTCGCGCGAGGCGGCGGCGTCAGCGGTGGCGTCGCCATGATCACCTCCTGATCCATCGCGACCTCTCAATCTGCTAGAGGCTAGAGCTGAGAGCTACGTACGGCAACGACAAGTGAGGATTCAGATGAAGAATCGCGATTCACCAGTAGTTGATGAAAGACAGGGCGGCGCCGGCCCACTGTATATATAGCGCTGATTCCTTCATTCGCGTGGGATTACGAATCGGAGTCGGAGTGATTATAATTAATTAGCTTAACATGCACGCGTGAATTAATCGATCGCTAGCTTCGGACTCCGTATTTACTAATTAATAGTATTTCCAATCGAACAAAACTACTCCATTTCAGTGCATCGGTTGTTTACTATATATCCTGTCTGACTTTTGAAACAAAATTCTATGAATGTTGAACTCATTTGGCAAATTAAACCTAAAAACTGCCTGAGAAAAGACTAGTTCACAAACGGCCGCGTGCGATCAGTTGTGCTTGCCATTTCGTTTGCCCAGACGAGTATTACTGTTTCTTTTTTTATTTTTGGGCTTTTATCGCATGGGCCTGTTTCAGTGTTTCCTTTTCAGATTGGAAAAAGTACACTAATGGTCCCTCGACTTGTCATCGAGTTACAAAATCGTCCCCCAACAACAAAACAAGATATAAGATATCCCTCAACTTACAAAATCCATTTATTTTAGGTCTTTTGGTGATTTTGTTATCGGTTTTATCGTACGTGGCAGCTGAGTCAGCGTGGGACCCACTTGGGTCCCACATGTCAGTGTGGCCACATCAACACCTCTCTTTCCTCTCTTCTCTCCATTCTCTCTCTCACTTCTCTAGCCGGTGGGCGTCAGGGGAGCAAGCGAAGTGGGGGCGTCAACGGGCGAGCGCAGTGGCGGAACGACAGCGTGGGTGGGCAATCTTCGCGCGCGTACAACGGCCTCAATGGCAGCGTTGTCCTTCCAGCAGAGGAGGTGGACGTGGAGGCCGGTGGCGGCAAAGAAGAGCTCGAGCTGGGGGCTCCCGAGCTCCGCGGCGGCGGAGGCACCAGCGGACAGCACGGAGAGCGCGGAGGCGGCGTCCCCATCTATGATGAGTGCGGAGGTGAGCTGCGTTTGGAAGTTGCAGGTCCAAAGGAGGGCCAGGCCACGGGCGAGAAGGCCCGATGCGGAGGCGGAGACGAGGAGCCCCAACCTGTGGCGGAGCACGTTCTTCTACAAGGGGACAGCACCGAGGACGCCATAGGTGGTGGTGAGGAGGGAGTGGGCAAGGAGCTTGAGCCACGGGAGAGCTGGGGCCAGCGAGGGGGGCGGGGAGACCGGCGTCGAGTGGCGGAGAGGGAGAAGATAGGTTTGGTGAGGGGGTCAGGAAGACTGGCGAGCTCGCCCTCGCCCCACCTCCAACGCCACAACACCTGCCTCCGCGCCTTCACGACCTTGTGTGTCACGTCGGCGAGGTAGTGCTTCACCCGCCGCGGTGCCGCTGCCTTCCTCCCAGGGAGCTAGTCGCCGTTCCTGCCGCCCAGGAATGGCGGCAGCGATAACAGCAGCCCAAGCTTGGGCTTCCCGAGGCGGTTCGCCTTCGCCAGCCGCGACAACCACCGCACCGCTGCCCCCATGCGTCGCCGGCGGCACAACATCCTCCCCTCGACTCACTCTCGACCGGCCGGCCGCCCTAGGAACGACGAGAAAAGTGAGAGAGAAGAGAGGGGCCAGAGACGATGGTGATGTGGTCACACTGACGTGTCCGGCCCATGTGGGTCCCACACTGACTCAGCCGCCACGTAGGACAAAACCGGGTTCAAAACCACCAAAGCACCTAAAGTGAATGGTTTTTGTAAGTTGAGGGATGTCCTATATCTGGTTTTTTGGTTGGGGGACGATTTTGTAATTCGATGACAAGTTGAGGGACCATCGGTGTACTTTTTTCCTTTCAGATTTTATCCAATTCGAGAAAGGAATAAGTCTAGCCGTTCCTCAACTTTACGTCAAGTCTATATGACATCCCTAATCTCTAATACCAGAAATCTCTACCCTTTAAGTGTTTAAAATCGTGCAAAACTGGTCCCGTCGCAGTATACATGGGTGGTTTCGCTGACGTTGCATCCTAGTTAGCAAGGAGATATAAAAATATATGTGGAGCCCACATGTAATTAAGTCTCTCAAATATCTCCCCCGTCTTCCGCAAGTGCACGGCGGCTCGACTCGCCGACTCCTCCTCCTCCCAGCTCCACCACAATGTCGCCACCGCCAGCGGCGACACCCGCATGTCATCCCCGGTGTCGGCACCCAGCGACGGAGAGGAAGCGGAGGGATTGCCAGATTGGATGCCCGCATTGGCGGCCTTATCTACAGATCCGCAGTCAAGGAAGGCGACACCTTCTAGGAGGAGGCAGTAGCGCATGAGCGCTCCGATGGCGACCTCCGCGTCGGCGTCGTGGAGACCCGAGAGGTGCAGGTGGTGGAGGCGCAAGCAGTAGAAGGCGACTTGGTGGAGGGCATCGCTAGAGATGTGTTCAAGTGGGTCAGGCCTGATCTGGAGGCTTTCGAGGGCCTCACCGCGCCGCGAGGACAGCGAGAATGGCGTCCGTGAGCCCGCGGCAGCCATCGACCACCACCTCCCAGAGTTCTCGTGTGCGAAGGCCTGAGGCCGCCGCCGCCGCCTCATGCCCCAGCAGCCGTAGCCGCCGCAGGCTCCCACATCGTGATAAGAGCGACAACGTCACCTCGGCGTTGACCTCCGCGCGCGCTCCATAGGCACGGCGTTAACCCCCTTCCCTGATATAGAGCCAGTGGCAGAGGGGGGAGGGGCGGCCGGCGTGCCGAGGAGAGAGGGGCTGCCACCACCGCCGCACCCGATGACGACGACGACGCACACGCCTGAGATCTGTTAGATATAAACCTTGTGCATTTTATGCTTTGCATTTTTCTCGTTTTTCTGTTGCATTGCATGCGCGTGAGCTCCGGTTTGTGGACGCCGCGCGCGTAGGGGTCATGGCGCTGGAATAGCCACGCGTGGCCGAGATCAGCGGGGGCATGCGCACGTCGCGAACTCGTGGGGATGGACGCGAGCGATCCGCGGCGTGGGCCGGTTCCAGAGCTAGATTTTTCCTTTGTTGCATCTTCGTTTTGCTATAAATAAGGAGAAGAAAACAGATAAGCTGCAGGCAGTTTTACGCAGCGCCAACTCTCGTGTGTCTCTACTCGTTTTCAGATTATCTACAGTGTCGCGTGCGTTGTGTTCATCCGGTGTTCGTTCTCGCCCGCTCGCTGATTCGTTGGGATTTCCTGACAAGATCGGGAGGAGGAGCAGCAGGGGCGGGCAAGGGCGCAACGGCAGCGGAGGTGGCGACAGCGCTGGCCCGGCTCGCAAGACCGACAAGTGCCACAACTGCGGCAAACTCGGCCACTGGGCCAAGGACTGCAGGAGCAAGCCCAAGCAGGAGCAGGCACATGTGGTCCAGGAGGAGGATGAGCCCACGCTCATGCTCATGACGGGTGGCTGCATTGATGTGGTGGAGGAGACGGGCGCGCCGTGCGTGACACCGGCGCCGCCCGCGCCGCGGCCTCGCCTAGACGTTGTCGAGCTTGTGGAGCAGAAGGTGTTTGCCGCGCTGGACGACGCCACCGACCACGACAACAAGCGCTGGATCCTCGACACCGGCGCGTCGAACCACATGACTGGCTCGAGGGCGGCGTTCTCTGACATCGACACCAACGTCACCGGCAATGTCCGGCTAGGGGATGGCTCGCTCGTTCGCATCGGAGGGCGCCGCACCATCCTGTTCGCCTGCAAGAATGGTGAGCACCACATGCTTCACAAGGCCTACTACCTCCCGTGCCTCGCCGCCAACATCATCAGCGTCGGCCAGCTGGACGAAACCGGCTTCAAGGTGCTGGTTGAAGACGGCGTGATGCGTGTGTGGGACGAGCAACACCGACTGCTCGCCCGCATAACGCGCACCCCAGGCCGGCTCTACGTGCTCGACATCAATCTCGCACGGCCGGTCTATCTGATGGCTCGCGCGGGAGAGGACGCTTGGCGCTGGCACGCGCGTTTCGGGCACGTCAACTTCACCGCGCTGCGCAAGATGGGCAGAGAAGCACTGGTACGTGGGTTGCCCGTTCTGTCGCAGGTTGAGCAAGTGTGCGAGGCTTGCCTTGCTGGGAAGCAGCGGCGAGCTCCTTTCCCGCAGCAGGCACTTCACCGCGCTACCGAACCCCTCGCCCTGCTGCACGGCGACCTTTGTGGGCCGGTCATGCCGGCGACACCGAGCGGAAATCGCTATTTCCCGCTGTTGGTGGATGACTACAGCCGCTATATGTGGCTCGTGCTCCTCGCCACCAAGGATGCCGCGCCGGACGCCATGAAGCGTGTTCAGGCAGCCGCCG